GAATTCACTCAACAGGCGGACGAGTGCTTTCTTGGCGAAAACCGAAAAGGAGCAGTCGATACATTTCTACAAGTGCGATTTTTCACTAGCAAATCAAAACCTTCTCTCCTGCGCAGGCGCCCTTGACTTGTGTTCAAGCGTCTACAGGCCATAAACGACGGCGACGAATTATGCACATTCAAGTGCTTCGAAAATAGCAAAAGGAGAAATTACCGAAGATGGAAGCCATATTTTCAAGAGCTCTTTTGAAAATGACGAAATGGATGCTAAAGAGACTAAGACCTTACTCCACACATGTGATAAAATCAATTGAGATGTACTCAAGTTGGCAAAAATCTATATGCGATTCTCCGCCGATCATCTTAGAAAACCTCCAAAACGAGGTTATCATCACATCTGCATCAAACTTCGAACTGTCGATAAAGATAATGTATCTTTGCATGACGTCACCTAACTTCGGGAGAAAGATGGACGGGTTTTGCTAGAAGGAAACACAAACGTACTCAAGTATCAAAATGTCAATTATGTCTGTCTCTGGCTCATTACCTTTGTCGGTGTTTCAAATAATTTGCAGCAGTGTGTAAGCAGCTTGGCCAAAGTAGTTTTACCAGGAGAAGCCCACGTATTATTAAAGCCGCCCAGTCCGTTCGAGTCTTGAGTGGTATTTGAGTAAAGAGAGGCCAACCAGTCACTGGAGCATGAACTGCTGTTTTTATCGTGGCATACTGAAGTGTTTGCTAAAATGTCTTGTGTTGATCTGGTGAAGTTCTGTTCAGACAATTCTGCGTTATGAATGCTTAGGTTACTCTTTTCAAATTGATGAACACCGACGGTAAACATATTTGCAATCTCAAACAAATATAAAATGTTTCTCTCCATCAGTTTGCATTTGGTTTTGGTCGCATTGCGAAACATTTCATCCACAGATACACTTACTTCTGCATCTGAACCAACCGATCGTCTTCTGCGTGCTTTCAGATTTGGAATCAATTTAATAATTTCATTAACTGTTTCACTTATGCTGACATTCATCCGTTTAAAGTCTATTAAAGCTATAGCCAGAGAGTTGGGCCCATCTTTTCTCACGACATCCATCTGCAAGGCAATCATGTTTGTTGCCACAGTTCCTTTTGAAGTGACAAACTTGTAATGGCCATTTTGAACTGAGACTGGATGGCTACCGAGACGTTTTGTTAACTCTAGAATATGCATTTCTGTTGCCAGAATATGATTCAAATTTGCCAAGGACTTCATTGATAACAAATACGTATAATTAGAATTCAAGGCGATTGCTTTTGCAGCGAGAAAGCTTTGATGTACATTACGTCGTTCCTTGATCGCCATTCTTTGCTGCATTTCCAAATTCTCAATCAACAAGCTCAATCTTTCATAGTCCTCAAACATGTCTCCAGCACCTAATATATGCTTGATCTTCTCCTTAAGCACTCCTCTGAGCGATCGACAGTGATAATTACGTTGCACGCACTCCACATCCACCAAATTTTTGGAGCAATTTGAATAGCTAGAGCATTCGAAACCATCTTTGTAACCAAGCTTTTGCCGAATCACGACATCATCACACTGACGTTCCTTATAATCGATGACTTTTGTAACCTTTACTGACTCGTAATGTATGTAAAAATTTTCCCTGGGCACCATTGTTGTCTTACACAGTTTTTCACAGCTGCCAAATGCACTGCCTATAACTCCGCCTACCAGCATTCCAACAATTCCCCAAGGACCAGGCAACATGGCACCTATTTTTGCCCCCATTGCTCCTTCCTTTCCCCCTAGATACTCGAAAACCTTTTCTCCTCCTGTTTTTAGTACCTTCTCCAAAGCTTTTTTCGCAAGGAAACTAATGATACCTCTGCGCTTTCGTTTACCAAAAACCTTCTTGAAGAAGCCAGTTAAAGGTGGGCAGCGCGTCCAGCAGTTGTATTTTGGGAAGTAGTTTACGTAGGATTTTTCAGTGGAAACTTCTTGCATTTCAGTTCTTGTCAAATGTTTGGAAAGCAACATGCAGCTTTGGGTCGTTACATGCTCATACCTCTCTTCATAACAAATATTCGTCACCAAACCTGGAACACATTTCTTTAAACACACTTTTGGTGCACATTGCTCGATTGTCTTCGTGTAATTTTCAACAGCATTGTCATAATGTTTTAGCCTCGCATTTAAAGCCAGCTTGATGTTCTGGTATTGAGAATTCGTTCTGTTTAATGCTGATTCAACTTGATTGGCCCTTTCTGCTTTTTTCTTGAATAATTCTTCTAACCTCTTCACATTGAGATCTGCTTTACTCTTGTGTTTCCTGGACGTATTCACCGCTTTTTCTAATATTTCCAATCTTTCAGACACATCTTGCGCTACCATATGAATCTTTGAGTGTAAAACTTTGTTTATATCTTCAATGATTATAGAATTGTTTGCCACGAAGCCTTTTATATTAAAAACTACCTCATCTCCACTTATCACATTTTTTATATCTGCAACAACTTGGACTGTTGTCAAGGAGCCATCTGGAAGTGTTGCTTTGGTTGAGAATTCAAGTTTGTTGTCGTTGAATATAATAGAAACATTAGTGCTGCGCCCAAAAATTTCCATGGATCCATTGAAAAACCCTGAGTATGTTTTTGTATTGTTTATCAGGATGACGATGTGATTGCCTTTTGGAATTTTTAAATGATTTCCAAGCATCGCGTCGGTTTCAAGTTTTCCTATGACCGCTGTCACGTTTTCATAATCTGGTGCAAGGTTAAAGCGCTCAGCCATCGTTTTTGACGGGATCTGATACAATATCTCAATGTGGCAGTTCTTGAAGCAAAGATGGGCCAAGCAAAGAGTTCCTTTAGAATACAGAGAGCAGGCCTCAATGGATCGCGAAACACGCGTTCGATTGAAGAGCTTTTTAAACCACTGTTCCATTTTGTCGACCGAAACATGAAAGGTTGTAAAAACCTTCTCGAAAATACGCTTTGATGCGAGAAAATCAACCATATTGCTGTGCTTCAAAACCAGAACTTGTAGTCGTCTGTCTACCCTTTCAAGCTGCCTCTTAAGTTTTGTAAGCGATTTAAGAGCCTCTTTGCCTCTCGTTTCATGACAATACCGAGACAAGCTCTCCGACGATGAGACTGCAAGGTACAAGTCTCTCAAAACATCATTGATTATCCTATGCAGCCCTGGGTACGCTGTAATTGCACCTTGAAGAGAAAGTCCAATTGATGCATTGAGCGAATGCATTTCACTGCGTATGTTGTCACTATTGGTTAGATTCACGGCACCGAGGATCAAGCCACCGCTGACTTTAGCCCATATTATATACTTCATTTGGACATTCTTATCAAGCTTGACTCTTCCTGCCATCACATAGCGCGATGACCTACCAGAGACATTCTCAAGTTCGAGGACAACTTTTTGTTTTCCCATAATTTCATCTAGAAGAATAGACATTGATAAAAATTCAAAATGCAGAGAAACACGGGTGGTAGTAAAACCACTACACCAGCATAAAAGTGAAAAATCAGGACATAATGCTGCTGATGCATCTCAAGGTAAATTCTTTCATTTTGTTGAAAGCATATTATAGGCCTGAAATGTATTGTTTTGTATTAAAATTCTTGAAGAAAAAAATTTTTACATAGAAGAAAATTTTTGAAGAAAGCTAACTAATTTATGGTTTCATCATATCTACAAAATTTCTAATAGGATATCTTGTCACGACGTCTAACTTAACGAGTTAACTTAACTTTGACCACGATGTCTTCGAGTAGCGCAGTTGCATTGAAAGTTTTTAATACGCAAAATCTTTGATGCTACGCGTTCAGGTCTGTTCGTATCTTTTATTTAACCCTTGTTTATAGAACATAACTGATTCCACTTTTGAATATAATTTTTCCATTAAATTCATACAAAACAGAAACTTTCCTTTGTTTGATGGTTTATTTTCTGACTCTTTTGCTACCTTTCCTGACCGTTCGAATACTTTTGGAAGGCTAGCGGGAGGTACTAATAAAATGAAAATACGATGCACTGTGAAAACAAAACAAAATCAAATTCAATTAGATTCTTTCAAATTAGCACCGAATCATTCAATCTGCATTGAAATATTAGACAGAATGCAACTTTAAGTCGTCAACGTATGAAAATCAATTAAGAATTATTTTAGACCTGCAAGTTAAACGCATCTTTATATAACAAGTATTTCCCTTTCTATCAGTAATCTTTACGTTGCGTATAAGTCAACAGGAAAATAACGAATAAATCAAATGGTACCCGTGGAATTAAATGTAACTGAGCCGTTGCTGCTGAATGTTGTCCTCTCGATGTCACCCATAAAATTGTCATCGACATGCAAATCTATTTTTCCATTCGCTGACATCGATTTGATTGACTTAACTCCATCAACGAAAAACTAGAACCAATCAAATATGAAATGACATGAAAGCAATGCATTGGGAATTGCCGATTTAAACACATGGCAATGATAAAAGCGTTGGTTTCTTGAGGAGGCTCTTTCTGAGTACAAAACAAGTTTGCTCAGAGAGAGGTCAATTGAACCTACAGCTAAAATCATACGGTATACACAAATTTGGTAGATATAATTTAAAACAAACAAGGGATGGAAACGAATCCTTAAGCAAAAATAAATCAAAATCATACTTCAAATGCCTCATCCGTATCCATTAGCATATCGCCATTGAGTTTAAAGGCCATCTTGAATGTATTGGTAGATAGTACTGCAGAGTATTCTCCAAAGACACGGTAAATCTGCTTCTTGTCTTCAGCTGAAATGTGGATGCCTTTCATAATCCCTGCGAATCCTGTTAAAGATTCCCAAACAGCTGATTCGCTTGCTGAATCAGGGAAGCCAATTAAAGTCTCGTTGCCATTAATTGACTCAAAGATGCAAACAACATCATCTCTCTTCAAATCAATCTCCTCCTCTGCAATATGCAGCAAGACTCTCTGTGTCGTCAAGAATACAAAATACTTTTTATTTTCGTCAATACCAAGCAGAACTTTGCTGCATTTAGTGAAAATCCTTTTGACTTCATTTCCAGAGTAAATGTTTGCGACGAGGTCTTTTAGGTCAAAAATTTTGGCGGATTTTTCCACAAAAATATTTAACAGGGATGGCGTTCGCCTGTTTACCCCTTCAGCTACGGTCTTGGCGAAAGAGTTCAGCTCAATAGCTTCAGCTAAATACTCATTGGAAGGAATTACAGAGATGCATTGTGGAATTCTGCTTTCAACTGACTCATTCACATTTCTGATTCTTCTGTATTTGTTGACAAATTCATCAAAATTATTGTTAGTCAAGCTTTCGATTGTAATTGTAGAGCCGACAAGTGAGGTAGGTAGACCGCTAGTGCCTTCTACGTCAATCAGGACCATGCCATCTGTTGATTCGCTGTTTGGTCGATGCTGCCACGGAGCCGTTGAATATAGAGTCAAGCCTGCCTTCCTTGTTCCATCAGTTCTTTTTTCAACCGAGCTCTGAGAATGACACCCCTTTGAAAGAATCCCTTCGTCGTTTATAATGTTTACTGCCATAGACTTATTTGTTTCTCGGAAAAATACTATGCTGTTCATCGGTGCATCAAATACACCCGCATTATCGCCGTAAAGTTTGTAAGAAAGGACATAAGGTCCGGCAATTGTTGCTCGGACAGTGAAGTTTGCGGAATTTTTCGCTTGATTGAAGACTAGCTTTTTAGGATAAATCGAGAGGTTTTCGTCATAAGGTGCTAGCAGTATTCTCAGTTCAATATCAAGCTTGGCTTTGACAGTAAAACTGTAGTTTCTATTAACGTACATTATTGGGAACAGAGGCAAAGTCACAATGCCTCTGTTACAATTCGGCCCTTGGTATCCAGTTCGTTGGCAGTTGCACTGGTATTTCTTCAAACCAATCGCATTGCAGATTCCTCCGTGTTTGCAAGGATTTGGTGCACATATTGTGATTTCTGTCAAAAACAAATATTTTTATTGAATTATACTGCCCTAATTTAGTAGGCCTAACGTTAAGAAAAATTTAATTCTAGAAAGCTAGATTCTGCAAACTCTTGCAAAAATTGTCAAGTAGATGCCCATTGAAAAAGAACGAAACTCACTTTTTCTTTCATAGCCAATTTAAGATCTGATGTGCTTCCTATCTTGTGAAGACTGAAAATTATCATAATATTTAAGTAAATAGTTCTTGGCTCACTTCGCATACGAATGCTATAATATAATTTCGATGAGTGTGACCACCGACTACGGCTACGACCTACGGCTACGGCCTACGGCTACGACCTACGGCTGCGACCTACGGCTAAGGCCTACGGCCCCAAAATGCCTTTTTCCAGGATTTTATCTGATCTTGAAGGCGTTTAGGATGCATTGATCTCAGTTTAATTCAATCTAATTTACAGCCCATGGCTAGGTTTATTTCGCTTGCTAGTGGAAAATCAATCACAATTTTTCAAGGATTTGTGTGCTTAGTAAGAATTGAAATATGAAATTTGCCCGATGATTGCAATAAGGCCAAATTTCAGATTAGTAAAGGTCCTGTTCTACATACCAAAGCGCTGTTATATTTCCTAAAGGTAGAACCTTCTTCAAATCATTAGAAGGTCATTACTTCTCTTCCTCTGATTCCCATAAGCCAATCATAATTTCGGCCAGCGGCAGCGAAGAGTGCTATTACTGCTATTACTTAAATAGAAATTTTGTTCAAAGTAGAAAAATCTCCGATACCCTTTAAATTTCCTGAAACTATTGGCCATTGAATTTTTATGGGTTGATAAATTGGAGGCTAGAATCATGCAATGAAAAGTGATATATTTATCATATCTCCTGAAAGTGCACGTAAATGCACGTGCAAATAGATACCAGCATTTGTCAACTTTTTGTGAGTTTCAGCTTAGCCTTTTTCAACACTTCAGAGACCATAATTTAATTTCATACCTAGGAACCATGAAAATTTCAATAATGAACTCACACAGTAATAATTCTTTCCTCCAATCATAATTGAGCCGCTTTTTTTAAGGGGGTTGATTTGCTTCTTAGCATCGATCAAACGTGATAGAGAAATGGGGCCCAGATTTTTCCGTTCATAGAAAAATTTCCCTTAATTTCTTGCTGCCACTGTTTTCAGCTGTATCAATTTCTGACTACAAAAAACATAGTATTCGAAACCCTCAAATCCCAAACAAATGCAATCAGAAGTTGGGTTCAATTTCACTAAAACAACCCTTTCAGGCGGTTATTTTGGCCTGGAATATGAAACAGCTAACAAATCAAATTTGATCTTTCATTAAGGCAATCAATCACTCCTTACCTTCTTCAAAGTCTGCAATAAATATCAGTGGTTTGTCAAAATTTCCCTGGCAGAATTCAACGGCTATACAACCATTTTACATTGATACAGCTAGGCTTCATGGCAAAATTTTTAATGGAAAATGAAGCCAGAAAAAATTAATAGTGTACCTTTACACTCAGTCGCTTTGTTCAGCCAATACATCGTGTTATTGGCAGTCGCTCTGCACATCAGCTGCGTAGAACCGGTGGGGTAAAACCCTTGACTGCACTGAAGGGTACAGATCGCTTGGTAGTAGTTTAAACACGGCAGTTGAATGCCCCCATTTGGTGGAGGTGATATAGGCTTGCAGTTCTTTCCTATGATCGAAATTACAGAATTGAACGATTGGCTGTACACCATTTTCAAAACAAAACAAAGGTTAAGAGAGTACGTCGTTATTAAGGGGTACACTGTCGATGAGGTAAACAAATTTTGCAGCCGACATTAGTATTTTAAAATGCAAAATATGCTGCATTTTCCTTGATTGCAATAATAACATGGAATCGCTTTTAGTTGTAACATATGTAAAAAAAATTTCTTTAAGTCATAAGAAAAAGAGTGACATTACTTGTAGCCAGTGGCATAGATTGGAAGATAAAGAGTTTGGGCAAGAAATTTAGATTTTCCGACAAAAACCTAAATATGATCTTAATTTTTTCATAAATTTGAACATAACTGAACAAAAACAGAAGATGAAGTCTTATCATTTATTAAAATTCAAGTTTCGTTAATCATACTACTTGAACATTTTGGACCTCTCCTCTAAAAAGGCATTTTTAAGCATCACACCTAAATAGAAGAGATTGCCAGTCTGGTCCAGAACAAGAAAAAACCATAGTATTAAGCTCTCCAATCTTTCCTCTCCAAATGGAGCAATTATTAAAAAACATACAACTGTGGTAGTTTCCGACAAAGTCTGACAAAGTATTAAGTTTGACAAAATAGCAAAGCTTTATAAGGGCTCTAACCCCCTCTAGCCCCAGTATCTACGCCTTTACTTGTATAGCATACGTGTAATTGCCAGGTACACAAATATAGGATTTTTTCTAGCTTTCATGAACAAAATGAAACAACGATGATTAGCAAAAAGTACGAGAAAAATCACAATAATTTCGTACGCTTTCTGAAAATAAACAGACCCAAACTTCTTCATATTAATATTTAACATTGCACAGTCAGGATTCATGAAAAAATCGAATCGTTCCATAAGGGGCGAAGGGACTCTTATTATTTTGTTTTGGAAATTTGTCGGCTAAGGCTCTTGGCCCTTAGTACCCTAAGTTTATTTAATATCTAAATAATAGATTATTCCTAGCCTGTACATTCTGATAAACGATATTCTTAAAAAAGGGTACCAAAACAAACATTAAAAATTTAGATGGTATTGGACAGGATTTTGTCGATCAAAGAACAACCTAAGTTGGTGTTTTGGCCTTCATAATTAATAACCACTGTTATCAATTATACCAACAAGTTTGAAAACGAAGCAAATTTTGGCCTTTAAGGTAAAATATATAGAGCAACAATGCCTGCCAAAAGTACTTGGAACACCCAGCAATTTGCATTGCATTTTATATCTTTCATCCCTTTTCTGAAAAAAATTTAATGCTTCCGCCCCCTTCCCCCTAAAACAATGTTGAAAATTTAGAGTAATATCATAAAAGAAGCGCAAAGGAAAGAGTTTCCTAAAATCCTAATCCGTTTCATAGTAAACAAACATTGTTCCGCGGGGGAGAGAGGGATGATTGATATTGACCTTGGAAAATGACGTCAGTGTTCCAAGACTTTTGGAAGGCATTGAAGTTTCAGTTAACAACCATACTTGTGCATATTGGCATAAATCCACTCCACGTGTGATTGGCTTGGCAACGGCGTTCCGGCGATCCTCGAAGCTGAAAACCAGGCAGACATCGAAATTGACAGGTTTCGTTCGCTTGCCCGAAGAAGCACGTTCCTCTACCGTTCACTACAGGTGGATGACGGATGCATGAAACCGCTAAAGAAAAAGTCAGTTTAAATTTAGATAGGAAACACAACATGAGAATACCTAACTTTTTGCCAAGCCTCAATATTCCTAAAAAATTTGATTTTGAGCCTAATATTATTCTCGAATTATTTTTGCCCACCACTAGGTGTATTTCTCCTTAAAATCAAATGAAAAAATTCTTTGATGGGTTGCTTCATCATAAAATCTAGTCACTGTGTCACATTGTAGAGTTAGTTATCCGCAGAGCGGATGAGTGTGTCTCAAAACATGCATATAGCCTGAAAGAGAAAGTTGTTTTGCTTTGTGAGAAAACTGCGATAGATAAAAGATTTAAGCCGTGATGAAGCTTGAGCCTGGCATTAACCCTAAATTAATTTTAAATTTTAGCGATTTTGAGTCGCAATATTCTTATACACTTCATACTTGTAAAAAGTGTGTATTCAAGGACACGTTAGCGCGAGGGCTTGTACCGGTGCAGAAAAAGATAATTCTTGCAATTTGCTGTGTTGTTTTAGCTATCGCCCTTGTCACACCATAGTCAATTGGTCACCCGATCCAGGATTCATTCCCTATCTGATCACTTTTCAAATCAGATAGACCCAGGGCCGTCGCTAAACACTTTCGCTTAGGGGGTGCCAGTCACCAATTTGCCGACAAATTAGGTCGTGGTCTAAAATATATTAATTTTGGGGTGTGGCATTTTGACACAGCTGATTTTATTCATCAAAGAGTTATGTTCTCAGAGGCAGGCCGCTGAGAGGATTCGGAGGCCTTCGGGAAAAACAAAAAGACGAGGCTCCCGACAAAACTTTTTGCGACCACGCCCTTAAGATTATCTTAAAATGGATTTCAGAATATTTCTTGCAGTCATTTCTGGCAATCGTTTAGAACGTTTTACTATATTCAGGCACACTTTTTGCTACGTTTTATTGATTCATTCTTAAAATGCATTTCATTACTTTATGAGCCCCCCTAGACCTCGAGGCCCTGGGGAAATTTGCTTGCTTGCCCCTTCTCTCGGCTGCCCTGCTCACAGGGGCTTCCAGTACCTCCAGGATCAGCGTTCAATGTTTTTCTATAAATTTTGACTTTAAGTCGAAGTTAGGTGGACATCGATATGCCAACAGTTTCTGCCGAGTTCCAGATCCCGTCTGCCGACAGGGAGTCACTTGGAACCTTTAATATATAATAATATATAATAAATAATTTGTTTAAAGTTGGCGTACTAAATGAACGGCTGATAGCTATAAAGAAGCTAATTAAGGCCAACTATCTATAAAGAGTTAGTATGAAATAAAAATATATGATACAATATTAAAAAGGTTTAAGGTAGAATATTCTAAATAAAACCTAACCCAGCAATAAATTTTTTACACAATCTACAGTCGCATTCTATAGGGTGTGCTCTTAATTCTTTTTTAAATGTTGCCAATGATTGGGACTCTCTTATACTGTGAGGTAGTGTTTGCCACAGTTTTTGACCTAAATATCTCACAGTTTCTATACCATAAGAAGTTGTCCTGGCTTTTGGAATGCAAAGATTATTTTTAGTTCGCAAATCATAATGTACATTTCTTGTTTCAAAAATCTCACTCATGAAACTAGGGTTCAGGATATGTTTGGTTTTGTATATTTCTATCATCAAGTACTGTAGATTGCGTTGGTGAATTGATACTGCATTATCCAAAGTCAGCAATGCTTCGTAGTCAGCATGACTGTCTTTATTAACAATTCTGAGTGCTCTTTCGTGGATTTTATTAACTTTAGCATTCAGACATCTGTCATGGAACATCCAAATTAGGGGGCAGTAACTAAACTGAGCTTTTATGAAGCTGTTCATTAGGAGACGCAGTTTATCAGAACCCATAAATGGCGAAACTCTAGCAAGAGCATGCAGTTTTTGGCTGGCTCTTTTGCATAAATTTGAGACGTGACTTTTGGAATTAAGATTTTTATCTATTATCACCCCTAGCAGTTTTTCTTCAGAGTTTTCTTCAACAATGGCCTCACCGATTTTGATCTTAAAGTCATCTTGATTTGTTCCAAAAGTAAGAAGATGACATTTCCCTGCAATCAATTTCATAAAGTTTTCTGGAAACCATTTTGATAAAATAAGAGCATCAGTTTCTAGCCGTTCTAAAACTTTATCTAATTGACAGTCAGCTGCAAAAATCGTAGCATCATCAGCAAAGTTACATACTGCAGTATCAGTTACCATTAAGAATAAATCATTAATATATAAATTAAATAGAAGAGGCCCAAGGACTGATCCTTGTGGTACACCTGCAAAGGTTTCTCGCCAAGTGCTGAATGAACCATTTAATTTTACCCTTTGTCTTCTACCGGACAGGTAATTATAAATCAATAATTGAGCATCTTTACAAAAACCATAGGCATTTAATTTCGCAATTAATAGCTCATGGTCTATGCAATCAAACGCTTTTGAGAGATCCATTAGCAAGGCACAAACCACCCCGTTTTTATCTAGGGAATTCTTGCAAATATCCATTAATCTCAACAGCGCATGCTGTGTGTTGAAACCTTTCCGAAAACCACATAAGTAGGGAACTAGGAACGTATCCGCGAAGTCGACCATCTGAGCATATAGAAGCCGTTCAAAGACCTTTGATAATGCGGATAGAACTGTGATAGGTCGATAGTTTCGTTTTTCTGTAGTTTTGTCACTTTTGAATAGTGGAGTTATGTCTCCTAATTTAAGATCTTCAGGAAACGTTTTCTGGAGCAATGAATTATTGAAAATTGTCGTCAGTAAAGGTGCAAAAATGTCTTCGTTTTCTTTCAGTATCCGCGGAGGAATACTTTCAATTGTAGACGCTTTTTTTGTATTTAGTCTCAATAATTCATCATTGACTGCCTGCATTGTAATTGGTTTGAATTCGAAGAATGTGCCATGGTTTACCTTACCCTTAATCTTGCGGATGCTGGGATGATGTTTATATTTTTCAACAGCAATTTCAACAGGATCCAGCAAATGGTCTGTCAAATTGAGAATGCATTCACCAGGGGCAATGTCAATTGTCTCTGTGATATTTGTAAAAAATTCATTAAGGATCTCAGCTATTTCACTGTCATTCGTAATAAACTTTTCATTTTCGATAAGCGTAATACTTGAAGAGGTTTGTACCTTGTCAGTAAAAAGTGGTTTTACAGTTTTCCAGAACTTTTTATTGTCAGTGACAGAATTTATATCAAGGTTACCATAATATGATGTTTTTGCTTGTCGCAGAATTTTCACACACATATTTCTTTGCTTTTTAAAAGCGTTCCAGTTTTCAGAAGTATTATGCCTGTTTAATCTGTTACGTAACTGTGAACGGAGCATAATTGCCTTTCTTAAAGTTTTCGTCATGAAAGGTGCATCATTTGCGCGTAAATATTTCTGTTTTAGAGGTACATGGTTATTCAGAACTTCTTCGACTACAGAATTAAAATTTTCATATTCAGAGTATGCTTCGCTGCTCTTAGCTAGATTGCTTCTAAGGTCACTGCGAAACTTTATAGGATCAAATTTACTGTAGTCTCGATATGTCACAATCCTTGGACCTCTTTTTACAAAACCACTCTTTAACACTGTTAGTATTATTAGATGAAAATCAGACAATCCCACTTCTATTGTCGTAGTGTTTTGAAAACCAGAGGTTTTATTCGTTAGAAACATATCAATGGAAGAGGGATTGTCAGCAGATTTATAACAAGTGGGACTTTTTATTAAATTTTTTGATCCATAGATATCCATGAAATTGCTAATTTCATAATTTTTCTCTTCCGAATTTAAATCTCCAATAATGACGAAGTTTTCGTATCGAGGTGTAAGTTGGTCAAGCACTTTGCCCATCTCTGCAAAGAAAAATTTTTCACATTGAGAAGGGGGGCGGTAGGTACTGATCAATGCCCATTTTTTCTTGCCCACATTAATTTCAGTTAATACACATTCAATTGAATTGGCGATGTTCACCAGTTAAATTTCATTTGCTGGAACTTTTTCTCTGATATAAACCAGAATCCCACCACCGTTTGTATTTCTATCATAACGGAAGGGTTTTTTGAAACCATCAATTAAAAACTGACTAGTAGGAAAGGAATCGTCTAATTTGGTTTCAGAAACTGCGAGGATGTCAACATTTTTTGCATTCAGGGTTTTGAGATCCTCTATTTTGTTTCGGATTGAGTTTATATTTAGATGTGCTACAATTAGGCCTCTCTTGTTTTTGTTCCTAATAGTTGATAGATTGGCAAGGGGGTTAATATCTTCGGTATCAGAACTAGCAATTTCATTGGTATTTTGATTTTCTAAATTAGGACAAATGTACTTAGCTGTATGAGTCCCATCATCACGTCACTGAGCTTTGAGATATTTAATAAGGTTATTGGCAAGAAGGACTGTGCCCATTCTATTGAGGTGCAAAGCACTTCCATTTAGGTGCTTAGTTGTATCGATGTTTTGATGCTCGATGAGATCTAAACTATTTTCTCCGCACAGGGTTTTCAATTTTTCGTTTACAGTTTTTGCTTTTGTATTTAACGTTGAATCGTCACCTCGAGATATAATAGCTGATACAACAACTTCATTTGCTCCGTTTCTTAAATCAGCTGCCAGATCACAGATTTCAGATGCAATTTCATCAGCTGGCTTGTTTGTTCCCAGCGAGTTGGTCCCAACATGAAGAAAGACAATGTCTGGGTTTTTTTTCATTGGTGGTTTTGAGTAATCTGCCATGTCTTCAACATTTGCTCCGCTGAAGATTTGACATAGACATTCTGCCCATTTCGCAGAGATCCTCTCAATTTTCTCCCATCCAAGTGCTTAAGTATGGAGTCGCCAATAATAAGGATATTCTTCTTGTTCCTTTTGTTCTCCGCTCTCCTTTGGATTTTCTTTGTTGTCCTTCTCTCTTTTGCTGTTTGCACTTCGCTGGCTTCCGTACTGCGAGTTTGAGTATGGTTTTTGGATGTTTCCAAATCGCTTGACTCATCATCGCTTGACAGAAGGGCAAAGCGATTTTGCCACGCTAAGGGATTTCTGCTTGCAGATTTTGCAACGTCCTTTGATACTTGGGAATATGCAACTTTTGGTGTTTTAACTTTGTACCTGGGCTTTTGGGATATCTTGTCATGCCCATAAATATCTTTGGCATGTTTTCTTTTAGCTTCTGCCTTCTTTGTCAGGCTCCTTGTTATTATTGGACTCACATGTGCTTCACTTTTTCCTGCCAATTTCTGTATTCTGCTGGGAGAAGGTCTCATTTCGTTGTCAAGACAGCTTTTGCTTCCATCAATTGTTTTGACTTCAAATCTAGGCCCTTCCAACAGACCTTCAATAATTTTCTGTTTGTCAAACAGCTGCTGCTCCAAAGAGATAATGCGGTCTTGAAGACATTTTACCAGAAGGGTCTATATTTGGTCTATTAGCAGTTTGGGCCTTTAATAGTAGAATTTCTCCATGTGAGAATCTTTTGAATTCCTCGAGTTCTGCTTGGATCCTCTTAAAGTCGCCGACGTTTACATAACCCTTCGACTTTGGCCATTCAGAATCTCTTTCGGAGGTTGGGTTAAAATATTCATTCTCAGTGTCTATATTTTCCTGGTCTTTGATACGATAGGAAACTTTGTTGTGGGACATGGTAGTGTATAATTTCCCCTCGTTTACCGCTTGATCCAAGATGGCGACTGTCTTTGTTTTGTCCCAACCATGTTTCGACAAGCAGAAGCTAGCGATTGAATCCATATGTCTTCCTTTGCTTGTACTCCTTAAAATTTCTGTAGCTTCCATAACAGTTTCAATGTCTGTTGCCATTTGAAATATGAGTGAATTTGCAGTGAAAAGAGTATTTCTTAGAGCGCATAAAAGCCACGTCCTACCAGCTCCGTCCTCCGAATCGAAAAAATGGGGATGAGATGTGCCTATTATTAATTGCTGAGGGCTTTTGGGTGATATTTTTTCGGTCTTATCCTCATCTCATCCCCACTTTTTGCTAAAGCTATTGCTTTGGGAACCTTGAAAGCAAAACCAGACAAAATTTCACTTTTCGAAAATTTGCCGACAAGGATTTTCTAGGAGGGGCGCACCCCCTGCTTCCGACGGCCCTAGATGGACCTTCTGTTCACACGACGACACTTGAATCCGACCCACTCCGTATCGTTTTTGCGGAGCCGGGGCATTCCGCTGTGAATGTGGAATGGAACCATATCGGAACCGTTTGACGGTTTGCCGCTCTTTTCAAGACACGAATTGAAATATGCTCTTTGTCATGACGATGAGCTTCCCAAGATAAATGCAAATGCATATTAAACTGTTTCAACTGTTTTCCAAGTACTTCTTCAAAAGAAAACAGCGTGTTAGATATGTCTCATCAAAGGATCCATTATACCAGAAAAAGAGAAAACGGCGAATAACATTCCACGTTGCTATGCAACTGCTTCAAGCAAATTTATTTTCGGAGCTGTTTTGAAGCGTACTATCGCTGTGTGAGCAGATGTGAATCCGACACGAAAGAATCCGGTATCGTGTGAACAGAGCTTCGTATTCGTACCAGATTGGGTCTGAAATCCGATACAAAATGAATCCGGTTTCATGTAAAATGAGCTTCATATTCGTATCGGATTCGGTTTGTAGTCAGACACGAAAAGAATCCGGTATCCTATGAAAAGAGCTTCATATTCGTATCGGATTGGGTCTGTAAATCCGATACGAAATGAATCCGATATCGTGTGAACAGGGCCTCATATTCGCATCGGATAGGATCAGCAAAAATGCAATGTGAAAGGAATCCGGTAACGCAGGGCATTTTTAAGGGTTTTTCAGTAGTGGGGCATTTCTCAAAAGGGGCCACGTCCACGACAAGAATTTGTACGGTGCTTCAAATTGTAATTTGCTTGGAATGGGAAATTTTAATCTTGGTATTTGCATTTTATTACATTTAGGAAAATTATCATGCTGTTTCGATGCCGAGTTATTCTAGGATTGACTCTCAGATTTCAAGATTTTATTCAAATTACTATAACGAAGTCTCTTTAAAAAGTTCTTACAAATTGTTGATAAACAAATTTGGAATATGAATTTATGAAATGTTTAAGATCAGGAACCAAACTAGAAAAGAGATTCTATTAAAAAGTTTTCAGAGAAGAATTTGGAAATTTGTCTATAAGAAATTTGTAACAATGTTTCCAGAAAGGTTAAAAATGGGATCATTCTCAGTTTAATTGGAACAGTGTCACCGAGAGGTTTTGGAGGCCCTGTGGCAATATGGAAAGATGAGGCCTTTTGCGAGAGAGATAAGCAGAAAACTTTTGGCGACCATCCCCTACAGATTAGCTAAAAACACATTGCAGAATATTTTTGGAGACATTTTCTTGCCATTGTTTAAAAACGTTTTACAAATTAAAGGCATAATTTTGTTCTCTCTTGCTAATTTCTTTCTCAAACAGGAAACCTCGAAGGGCACCCTAATCTTTAAGGCCCTAGGGCAATTTGCCACCACCCCCACCTTTCGGAGTTTTTTTAGTTTTGGTGTTTCTAAAAGCAGATCGCATAGAAACATTCTTTATCATGGTCCCAAAAGGTCACCCCACTCCCTTTGCTCATTCCGTAAGAGCAATTGGTTATGCAGTTGGGAAAAAAAGGCAACTTGGTAAGCTGCAAAGGGGTAAATTTTCCTGAGGTTTTGAAGAGTGGGGGGGGGGGGCACGTCCCATATCCTCCTGACCCCTACGCCTATGGGACAGGATGATGGAACCTTTTAGGAAATAGACAAAGTTGACAAATCCATTGTTTAAACACAAAATGGATTGTGTTTTTCACTATTTTGTCATGTTTCAATTGTTAGTGGGCCCGGGCCCCATTTTACTAAAACACCTTGTTGATATAATTACCAGCACATCTGCATTATGTTCTTTTTTTTGAAACGGCCCCACAATGGCCTAGGCATTTGGTGGAGGAAGTCAGAGGGCCTGATGGGCTGCGGCCGTCGCAGGCACAAAAGTTTTTGCTCCGAATTTCTGCAGGCACTTTTGTGAATCGAATTTTATTCACCTTTTTTAATTTACAATCATGCTTTTTCTTAATATCTTTCTTGGTATCAATTGAAAAAGCAAATAGAATTTCAAAGGATAAAGTTGTAAGTCTTTTTTACTCAAAATCATCACTCTAATTGCACAAGTTTGCATATCACATTGTCTATCTGTCCCTTTCTTTCTATTTCCTCTTGCTGAAAGAGACCACTCACAATTATTCGATCTTTCTCTTTCCTAACATAACGTATGCTAGTACACTTTTTGCAAAAACCCTTCTGTTTTTGAGAAAAAACTTCGAAAAATTCTGCGAAAAATTCTAGAAACCTCTTGGAAAAAGTGACAAACCCCTCGCGCATTTTTAAGCTAAAGGTGTCGAGTTTAGCGTCTAGCAACTAACGCATTTGTGGGAGTAAGGGAAAGAAAGTAAAATGCAGAGTTGGCATGTAGAGCAAAATTACAAGATGGAACGCTGGAACGTTACAAAGAAATAATTGGTGGGAATTATAAAGAACCAGTAGAAGCATTAATTCAGCCCATATGGATCTAAAATTTGTTAGATGTAGAGGGCAAAAGGGAAAAAAAGTAAGGATGAGCTGGAAATCCTATTTGTCGATGACGAAGGAAAGCCACAAAATGGAAATTGATATGTATTGGATGTAAAGTAAAACTAAAATAGTATCAAGGAAAATGCTTCTCGCTTTTTGAAATTCCATTGGTGAAAAACAAGAATTTTCAAGCGTTTGAAAATTTCGGTAAGGAAAAACTTGGTGGCATTAATTAAGTTGGTGTAACCGTACTGAGTGGAACTCAATAGAAAGGAAGATTCACAATTTATCAATATCTGACCACCTGTTGCACCCTATTTTACTTGCAGGCATATTTTTTACTCAGCTTTCGCTCGCAGGCACAAAATATTTTTAATGGGCCCTGCTGATGGGGCAATTCCTTATCTCTATGGCAATTCCCCCACAACTGAGTAAGCTAAAAAATGCCCTGCGGTAACGTTTGAACAGGGTCCAAGACAAATCACAAAGAGATGCAAATAATAAACAGCTTCGATGGCGTTTTTGATCTTTTAGAAAATAAACTTAAGATTGGAAGAATCAATTCTAAGTGTCCGAGTCGCCTTTTTCTCGAATTTTTCTTTATGAAATACTCTTTGAAAGCGTACGGCCTACCTTGGCAAGAATATCCATCAGCGTTTTCTTTATACCCTTGCAGACATTGGCAGTCGTAACTTCCTACGGTGTTTAGGCATTTTTGATGACATCTGTGGCTTCCTTCTAAACATTCATCCACATCTAGAAAAAAAACAATGAGAACTGTCCAAAGGTGCACATGGGAAAAGTTATATCTTCTTCTTCCGCTCTCAAATTTATGTGGCTTTGGTAACTGAGAAAGCTCAAGGAATGTAGTCATATTGGATGACAACAATTAGATACTGACCTTCGCATTTCATGGACATTCTATGTAAAACTAGCAGCATCTAAATGCTCCATTATCAACAAACAAATCTTGGCCACTTGCATGTAAATTTAGTGAAGACAATTTAACCATAAAACACTTTGCATGTTTTACCGTAGCATGTTTTACCATCCGATGCTAGTTTGTATCCAGGATTGCAGCTGCAACGGAAAGTTCCAATGACGTTGTGACAGTTTTGCGTACACCCAGATATTGTAGAATTTAGGCCACCGCGAGAAAGATGATATTCCGTACATTCATTTATATCTAGACAAAAACAAAGAATAAATGAATGATGATTATTCCAATTGACACTGACAAATTTGAAATAACATATTAACTCTCTTTATCTTCGTAAAATCGAACTTAGAGATAAGGAAGGGGCAGTACGGTGCGACACCACTGGTTACAGATGTCTTTCTGTAATGAAAGGCAACTGAAAATTCATCACCTTGGTCAAGGAAAAATATTTTACAATTTCATCATAACATAAATTTTCAGACGACAGAAATTTGAATGAATGGTCGCGTTCATCAAAACCGAGTTGATCAGGCTCCAACAACTTCCATTATAATTTACACTATTAGTTTCTGACTAGAATGACGTATTGGTGAAGCGATGGGAAAATAGTATCCACAAAATCCAGAAAAATAGATGCAATTTATATATTTAGATATTTTTAATTGAATTTCTAGTTGATTGTCTTCTTGAAAAGGCTACATATCACTTACTTTCTAACGAAGTATACTCACCACTACACGTCCTATTGTCATTGTTGAGTCGGTAGCCACTCCTACAACTGCAATAAAAACCGCCACGAAAATTGTTGCAATTATGCTGGCATCCATGATAGTGCAGTCCACATTCGTCAATATCTAGAAATGAGAATCTTTATCATGATACTGCTTGTCTACAATGTTAAAAAAATTATTTTTTTGCTGGCAAGCAAAAGGGATCTAGCCATGGGCTGCAAATTTTGGGGGAATTGAACTTAGATCAATAAATTCGATACGCCTTAGAGACCAGGTAACTGCCTGGAAAAAGAGCTTTATAGCTGTATACTTTACAAAAACCTGCTTTGGACTTTTGTAAGACGACATTAGACTTCAACATTTAAATGAAAAGAAATCAGGAGACTATTCATTTACAAATTTCGATAATTTTCAGTTTTGAGAAAATTGAAGCAAAGCCAAAAGTGCTTGGCTCAAAGTCGGTGTCTAGTTTTGCATTTTGTCTTTCCCGCCAAAGGCCTAACTTCTTTCCCGAACGCCAAAGTCGAGCGTTATATATTCCACAATTAGGAATGGAATCTTTATTTTTCCAAGACTTTTGCCTGTTTCTGCATGTTACAAATATCGGCTTTAAATGCATCAGGTTTACACAAGTAAACAGTTGTTGCTGATCTTAAAACACTCGCGGTCGAATCGTGCTGCATCAAACGCGAAGAAACGTACGAACTTTTCGTTGCCTTAAACTATTAACAATTATCTAAAAATTATCTCGTTTGTTGTACTCTTTTACACTTCTTTTTCCTTTTTTCCACCTTTGCTTAAAAGTAAACATAACAAAAGTTTTCATGGTATCATTGTTGCGTATATACGATTTCATAAGGGCGGCAACATTTCATTATGGCGGATTTCCCTGCGTCAGTTTCTCTCGGTGCCCTGTGGTTACTTTGCGCATGACAAGTACATTTTTCCTATCTGCTTGCTGCTTCTGCATTGCCTCAGTCTTTCATTTGTAGCAGCAGTGAAAAAACAGCTAATGATTTTGTGTTTGACATCCTTTGTAGAAACTGTTCTTTTAAATTTTCAGCTATTTCAATAACCTAGTCTTTACTTTAAGAATCAGAGACACAGTCCACGTTATTTTAGAATTCTGAGCATTTCGTTTTAGAATCCCATAACCTTTTAATAGATCTAGAACTTTTCATTAAATTGCGTATTTACTACAAGAACGCCTGCGATGTTCACGGGAACAATACCAGGAATAACCATTGCTAAATACGACTTCATTAAATGATAATACGTTATGATCCCAAATGCATTTGAAACTAGCCAGGAGAAGAATCAAAGCGTTCACCGATCACTGCCGTGCCAGAAAATATCGAATGATACATCTTTTTAGAGAATTTCTAGAAAACATTTTACCTGGAGAGATTATTTTATCTATGATTTTATTCAGACATATCCATTGGTCAATGCACTTTAAATATCGGTTTCCTTAATTTGCTTGATGTACTGATAGGTTCCCTTTTTATATAATTTTCAAATATCTATTTAACTTTTTTAAGTGCCTAAATCTCACTAATCTCACTATTTAACTGAATATCTATTTAACTCAAATATCTAGGTGTTTTTCTCAAACACTTTGTGTCAATTCAATCATTTTGAATTAAACTACCAAACGAGCCTAGTTTTTGACTAGGTTTTTGATAAAAAATTATGCTTTCAATTTACCTTTAAAAGTTACTATGAACAAGGTCGTGCACGAAAATTTTAGCAGGGGGTATCTTCAAAAAGGCTAGCGAGATGCATGGTCCCAAAAATTTTCTCGTACATAGCCCCCTTTAGAGAAGCGCAAACCTTTCCTCGTGCGATCAGTGAAAAAAATGGGAGGCATGTTTATCTAGATTAAATGAATAATTCCTTCTTTCGCGGTCCTTGCTTCTGCAAAGTCTCTGTTAGTTTACAATATTTTTCCTCCTGGGTTTTAGGACCGGAGCAATAGGTAGGCCCTCGAACCCTCTAGATCTTCATATTGGGGCAAGCACTCGATAAGAGCTTAAACGGAAAGAAACTGAACGGTGGGGGTTCATGCGCCTTTATCCCCATGTAGATTCTTTTTTTAAAATGAATGGGGGACAGTGGAGTTTCTAGTAAAGCTAAACATTTTATCAAATTACCGACAGAATATACCTACCTGAGCATGTTCGCCCATTGGGGTCGAGAGTATATCCTGATCGGCACTGGCAAGTGAAGCTACCCGGAGTGTTGATGCAGCTGTGGTCGCAGCCACCATTGTTGGTTGAACATTCATTTACGTCTGCAACCGTAAAAGTTGGACCAAATTAAAAAGGCTCAATTCAAACTGGATCCAAGGCAAATTCACAAATATCAAAGAAAGCCAAGCTACAATTTGTTAATAATTGAAGATATAATACTTAAGAAGGACCCCTTATTGAAAGATGAATATCCTTATGAGAAATAAACCTAATCTAAGACGCGTACCTGAACATGATCTTGCGTCGCTGTTGAGCTGGTATCCGCTGTGACAGGAGCATCTATGTGTTCCAGGATAGTTGGTGCAAGTATGAGAACACTGCCCGTTGTTTGCCATGCACTCGTTGACATCTACAGCATAAAAATACAATGTTTGACGAAATATTCAAAGGTGTCGTTTTTAGGCCATTTTCTAAACTATATTTTTGAATGAATTAGTAAAGATATGATTTTCCAAATGAAATTGAAAATGAAATAACATTTTGACAAAAGAAGCAAATTTAATGAAGTTTTTAACATATGGAATTAACCTTCCATCTGCTTTTAACCTAATCACTATCCATCAAAGCCTGGTCTGTATCCTTCACGTTCGGAGGAGGAGCTAGATGAGACAGAGACAGTTCCAAAAAATTGAAACGGGGAGGGGGGGGTAAGAATAAAATAATTTAGTGACATATGAGGGCCAAGCATGGTTGGGTCCGATGCAAAATTTTTTTTTGAAATTAAGCCTTCTAAAATGGCTAAAAATGCATCTCCCAAATAAAGTTTAACAAATTACTGTACTGCTCAAATTAGACAACTCGAAGATTATCAGAAATACATAGATTATTGATTTTAAGGAAAAATTTGGGAGGGGAAGATTCATGCGTTGGGGTAAGAAGGAAATTGGACCTTTGGCTCAGAGTGCACATCGATGTAAATAACGAGAAGCTGTTGTATTGATTCATGATTGAGAGAATTTTACTTCCTTAATTAAGAGATCTTCTTTATCTCGAGTATTTTCAGTTGGCCATGTTTACAAATCCAAAATGCAAACATTGCAAAGATCCATAAAATTATCTACTGAATTGATGAAAATAATAAACAGATAGGAGAAATGCACCGAAATAAGTTAGTAAATAGAATCAAATAACAAAAAGCAGTATATAAACAGTTTGTTCTATTTAATTTCATGCTCTGTTTTAAAAAATGATAAAAAAGACGGTTGAACATTTTTTATCTCTAAAAAAGGGGGGGCCCTCCCAGTGGTGCCGTGCCTGTTGGACCGACAGGTAAAAACACTACATTCTTACCGATACATCGCCCATGATGAAGTAATTGATAGCCAGCCGAGCAAGTACAACGATAACTTCCCAATGTATTGCTACAAGACGCAATGCATGATGGATTGTTCGGTTGGTCATCGCAGCTGCACAGTCGATGTGAAGTAGCACATTCGTTGACATCTGAAAACGAGCCAAATCAAATTTTGATACTAGAACTAAAAGAAGCACCATTTTGAATTATAAAACATCACAAACGAGTAACAACACAGATAAAATGCATCTTTACTAAGCTCAAAAGCTAACTTACATGTCACGAAAATTATTTAACCTCAAAGTACGGACATGCTAAGATTAAAGAGTTAAAGGGCCTCTCCAGCCAAAAAAAAATTTAGCATCTGGTGCGTGTATTATGGCAAAGTCGTTGTTTTTGCAAAATTCAAATTAGTTTAGAAGTTATAAGGCTTTAAAGTTACACCTTTCCGAGAAAAAAACGACAAAAGCCGAATCAGTTTGGTGACATTCTGACGTCACAGTGTGCGGCTCTCGTTCGCCATGAATTCAGGGGCGCAGTGGCTGGGGGGGCAGGGGGGGCAGCCGCCCCCCCTGGCAAAAATTTTTTCGGATTGTCGGAAAATCCAACGTTTGTCGGAAAATTTGAAATATCAGACAAAATGTAAGGCTTTCATCGATCCTGTCCAAAAGGTCGCATATTTTTTTAAACCTGTCGTAAAATAGGGCATGCTGAACCCTTCTTACTTATTTTCATTAGAGTATTTATCGGAATCATCACATTGCTGAAATTTGTAAAGGAAATCAACGCTTTGGTCTCAGTTATTTTATAAACTCCCATTTCCGACAGTTAAAATTCAACTCAGTTCATTTCGAAATGAATTCGCTGGTGTTGTAGAGGACGAAAAAAGTTAATATTTTCGCCATGACTTAGAAGAGGAAAATTTTGTCGAGCGACGAATACGCAGAAAGAAAAAGATGCCAGGGGAAAATTGCATGGATGAATTAGAGGGAAATAGGGAATCCGTATATTATCGTGATAGTAGATACAGCTATCAGCTCAATGAATACAAGTTCACGTCTCATAAGGCGATTTTGACAGATTTTGCCTTGCTCAACCCTGAATGTTTTCAAAAAACAATTGAAAGGCAATTGTGTGCAGTGTAATTCAAAAAGGTTGCGAAGAATTACGGCCTGGATGACGAAAAATTAAGTGATGAGTACAGCTCTTTTGTCAATAATTACCGTAAATTTTGGAAAGTTAGAGAAAAGAGCAGCCCTTACCCGGCTGCAGGAGAAAGAGAAAACTTTTCAGTTCCATTCAGTTCTTCAGTTGATGATAAGTATAACCTGCAAAGTGCCTTTCCACAGCTGGTCCTTCTTTACAAGGTTTTCGTCACTTTGCCAATAGGTTCAACAAAGTATGAAAGAGCTTTTTCAAAGCCGAGGATTGTAAAAAAAACGGCTACGGTCAACGATGGGACAAGTCCGCCTTTCCTCTCTGATAACAATCAACGTCGAAAGTGATATTTTCAGTCGATAGACTATGGTGACATCATCGATTTGTATGCTGCCACACCTCTTTGAGAAAGATGCTGCTTGAGTAAATTTCAGTTAAAAGAAAACTATTCTTTTGGACGCGTTATATCTATTTAAGGTTTAGCATTAATAAATGCAAAGTAATTATGATGCAATTTAAAATTTGCCAAAAAAACTTTTCGTTATGAACAGCCATAAACACTAACTTGACAGTTTATTGTTTAGTATAGCGAGAAGACTTGTAGGGTGTAAATTTATAACTAGTTGCAGTTTTGTTTATAGCGATTTATATATGGTAAGTTTTGTTAGAATAAAGGCTATTGTTGAACTTGGAGGTGTATAAAGGACGATCCATTCGTTAACGATTTCCAGATCCATTCGTGATATTGTAGTATCAAGTGTTGCAGTATATGCAGCAAGGGTAATCTTCAAGGAATGTATTGAGAAAAAATTTGTCGGAATAATCATAGTTTTATCGGAAAATTTTCAGCTTTGCCCTCCCAAAATTTTAAAGGCATTGAGTCATGGTAAATAGGCTTTCTCTATAGGGGGTCATTTGGTTTCGGCGTGATCGCTGCTGTTTCATGCCACTGCGGGTTGGAATGTGTCCATGCTGTGTCACGACTTTGTTTTGATCACCTGTGTAGGCCCACAAAGCTATGGCTTCCTATTCCAGCTCTTCCCTCGCGTATTATTAATCGAAATTGACACTTCAGTTGTTTTCCAGAAACGATGAACAACTAAAGGCTTGCTGTCTGAAATGCTCAAGCTAAAAGCCGGTGGAACAGAACTGGCTACAGATGGAGAGTACCATCACTTGCAGTGTTCAATTTGCGAATCGCTGTCATTCGATTCGGTTTGAGGCGAGACTAACGAAATACAATGTGACGTCAAAATTGCGTCACAGTGTCACCAAACCGAAAAATTTTTGTCGGTTAATTCAATTAAATTATCGAAATGCAAGAGCTTATATCTCACAAACTGTAAAAATATCGGAAAACAAATAACGAATTCGTACGGTGGCCCACAGGTGCCACGGCAAAACTTACTTTCTCACGGCAAAACTTTCTTTTTCACGGCAAAACTTTCTTTTTCACGGCAAAACTTTCTTTCTCACGGCAAAACTTACTTTCTCACGGCAAAACTTTCTTTACGTGTTGTTGTGTACGTGATACTTAGATCTAATCAATGCTTTAGACGTTTTAAACTTCGCAAAATTTGCGAATACCTACATCTTCTCTTGATAATTTTGCAGAAAGACAGCCGAGAAATGTTCTAAAATTTATCTAGGTTGGGCTAGGCTAGGCCTATATGCCTATCTCAACGAAACAGTACCGCATGCAAGGTCTTTGATTCCTTTGTTTTGAAAGCAGTGAAAAAGATCAATTCGTTGAAAATTGGCGTGCACATAAAATTCGTGCAAAAAAATCACGTACGTGCACTTGGCACGCTCGATTGTGGCTTGTAAAAAACCTATAAATTGGGTATTGTGTTTAATATCATATCATATCGTATTACTCACAGGGTGAGTTGATGGCTAGGTACTTAATTTTTCGAATAATAGTAATAACAATGAATAAAGAAATGAAATAATAAGCATGGGCATAATATAAGGGGAGAAAAAAATCGAAGTGGTTGCCCAACAAACAACATCCATTGTTTATGAAAATTTTGCCTGACTAAATCATGGTAGATTTCTGCCTGATTATCGCTTTTTTGTAAACTTTTCAGTGTTGAGAAACTACAGTTGCCGCTACAGCCCCCTTATCTCCCCAGACCCTTGTCTACTACGCCTATGTTAGAAAAGCAAAAGGAACAAAGCAATACGACGACGAGAATCCAATGTCACGAGATAAAATTTTCAAAATAAATTTAATTTAAGTAATAAATTAAATTCAAAGAAAGTTTTGCCGTGAGAAGTAAAGTTTTGCCGTGAGAAATAAAGTTTTGCCGTGAAAAAAGAAAGTTTTGCCGTGAGAAAGTAAGTTTTGCCGTGAGAAAGTAAGTTTTGCCGTAAGAAAGTAAGTTTTGCCGTGAGAAAGAAAGTTTTGCCGCGGCACCTGTGGGCCACCGTAAATTCGTGATCAGCAGGTTCAACCCCTTTAGATTAGCCAATAAAATGCAAGTGCAAAATTTGGCTGGAGAGGCCCTCGATAACACGCGAGATAACTCGCGAGGTAATATTCCATGTAATAAACCTGTTTTAAACCTATTTTGAGCTTGTTTTAAGCCCTCATAAACATAGACAGAGCTTTGTCTAAAAACGTCAATCAAAGGGTAGAAAGTAAGCAATAGTTCAAAATGAAAGGACAAAATGTGATCCTGTAAAGGGAACCTTGACAACGTGTAGACCCAATCAGCGTGTAGCCTCGGTTACAACCACATCTGTGTGTTCCTGGAAGATTTGTGCAGAGTTGCTGACAGCCTCCATTTGAATTTGCACATTCATTGATATCTGAAGATGAAGATGATAACATAAATGGAACTGTCCTACTTTAAGCAAAAGAGTGACGCAATAAAACAAATTATAAGTTAAGTGTTCAAAGAGCGGTTATTTTATCGCATGTATCATTATCTCTAACCCATTGAGGTAGATTACTTTGGGGTTGGTTCGGGGGGTGATGGTGCTATCCTTACCCTCTAAATATTTAGATAGTTGGTTAAAAAGAAATAATCACAGAGGAAAATGGATTCTAATTTCTGTTAAAAGGTAAAACCCCAAGTCCAGTTACGCCCACCACCCTCCCCCCTAGAAATATTTCACATTCGCACTCCTTCTGCAATACATTGCTTTGCGTAATCATGGTGATTAGAAACAATTTTCCATAAAGAATTGAACCCATAAATAGAAACCGAGGCTTACATTCAATTGCCTTAGGCTATGTTCACATTGCTCCGTATTCATTTTTATCCATCGATCCGTTTTACCTGTTCACACTGCTCCGGATACATTTGAAAACGGTATGAAAACGATGAAGCGTTCACATTGCTCCTCTCTGGATAAAGAGGAAAACGCCACGAACTGATTTACAGCACTTGCCACTGCTAATACGAGTGAATCAGCCATGTTAAGAAAAGTTGTTCAAATTGGCGCGGTCTAAGAATCTTGCTGTGTTGTTGTTGTTGTTAGCGTTTTCAAAAGTATCCGTTTTCGGTGTTCACACTGCGTTTTTGCGTTTTCAAAAGCCTCCGTTTTCAAAAGTCTCCGTTTTCAAAGTGCGTTTGCAAAAGTCTCTGTTTTCAAGGTGGAGCAGTGTGAACGCAAGGCACTAACGGATACTTTTTTACCCGTTTTCATATGAATACGGAACAGTGTGAACGGGGTCTAAAAATTCTGCCAAAAGCCAAGAATCAGTTTCAGATGCAACTTACAATGTTCAATAACTACAGCAAATATGCAAGAGCACTCGTACTCACCAACATTGCACCCCTGTGATGGGCTAGTCCACCCTGAATGACACAAGCATGTGTTTGGTCGAATGCAATTTCCATGAGCACATCCGGGACTGTTGCATATGGCTAATAAGGATGGGAGATGATAATTTTAGAATGTGAGGAACCTTGTATCAGAGGGGGGTCAATAACACAAAGAAAAAAGGACAAAGAGATACCTCAAAGCCAGAAGCTTCTGCACTTTATTTTTGATAATGATTTTATTTGTAGAACCTCGGCTATTTAGAATAATAACAAAAAAAACAAAACTCCTAGAGCATTACTGTTATTCATGTTTTAAAAGCTTTACTTTAGGAAAACATTATGTTAATAATATGTTGTTAGAAAACAAAAGCTTTAATTGAAATATTTATATTATATCTATACATGATCAATAGATTTTCAAAAGGTTTCATACCGAAACTGGCATAAAAGAACGTTAATATTCTTGAGTTGCAATACCACCAGAAAAGGAATTATCGCAGTCTATTAATATTTTTCTTTCAGAACGAGAAGCGAAGCTTTCTACTTACGGCTTAGGCAGCTCGACAGGCATGCACCTTGCCGCCAACCCTGGCAACAGCGATAATAGGTATTATACCTAGTTGTGTAGCGCACTTCGTATCGATATCGTCTTACCCACCTGTAAAATAAAAGGGTTTTTCGTGCTAATTTTCATTGCATCGCTACATTCGCTTTAAACAGAGTTTAAGGTTATGGTAAATGTTTTCTGGATGAAGAAAACATCAATTTTTCGTTTTTTTTTAACATTCCAATAGCCGAACTTTCAAGGCACACAACGATACCAAATTTGGAACAAACAGAAATTTTGAAAATGGAAAAAACCCCAACATACAGACAAAGGTTTTCATAATTTCTATATCAGAACTTTTAGTTGAGGCCTGAAAATCTTTTGACCTGTTAAGCCGATTATCGTTGCTTTGCGGTTGTGGTCGCATGTCTCATTTACAATATCCCATGGCACATCCATGTATTCAATGTACGGCCGTGTTTATTTAAACAGCTTCAAGTGACTTGACCTGGTTTACACTGTGGTGTGCGAGTGTACCTTTAAAGTGCTGATCAGTAAAATCCCGTTTTCTCCAAACTTACAATTCCTATACATAGAGGTACGAAAAAGCTATTGTTTACCCAAGGAACGAATCAAATGGCTCAAAACTTTGCACACAGCAAGGACAGATGTCGGGTAAGCAAAGCATGTCTCAAAATTTTTGTATTTGCTCTGGTCCGTCTTTTATAGCAAAATACAGCTTTGAGAGGGAAGAAAAACTGTTTGCCAATTTTTGACAGAGCAAGTCTCAAGGGGAGAAGGAATTTGAAAAATTTGAGACACACCTTGGTAGCTAAGAATCTGCGCGTTCTGCTGATGCAAGTCAGATTTCGTTACCTCAAACGCAAGCGGTACAAAATAGCTTTTGAAGATGGTACACTCATTTAGACCATAGATTTGCCTGGGACGTATCATTTCACAATCTTTGCCAATTATTTTGATATGGTTGGAATCACCACATTCTTGTGCATCGAATGACGTATTGTTTAATCTGATTCCGCTCATAGTTTTGCTTTTAGGGAAAGAAAACCAAATATCGTGTCAAAAACTCTTACGTTAAGACAATACAAAATGTTCTCCCATCTCAGTTCCTGTTGTTGTTAATGTCTTACTAATGTATCCCGTCTTAATTAATTAACATTTTATTTACATTAGCAAAGAAGAGGTTTTCTGATTCCCGAATCCCGCTTGCAAAAATTTGCAATTCCTTTCAAAAATAATGGTTTCTAAAGAATTGTCAGGTTCTGAAATTTTCCATTGAAAAAAGGCTAGCAAAAACCGCCAAATTGCTTCTATCACGTAATGTTTTTAGACTCAACTTTTCAGTAAATACTAAAAACAAATAAGCCAGTTTTTATGAATAAACAAGTAAAAAAATGATTTGCAGTTTTTCGTAGTAATCCAAAGGATCTTCAATAGCAATGATACCAAAAATAAATCATTGCTTTGTATAAATGTTTGCTTTTACTCCTATTAACAAAGATCTGTTTGATTATGATTTTTGCCTATACATATCTGTGGTTGGAGTCGCAGGTTTGTATCCGATGATTCTCTTTCATTTTAAGCTGCTTTTGCGTATTTAATAAAGTTTTGTCCACCTGTAACGCGTGCATTTTTTCCAACACCAGAGGAAGTGGCTGCAACATGTTCTGTAGCTAGTGTAAGCACCATATGTGACCTGCACAGTGTATCGATGGGAATATGACAATCGATAGCTGCATACGTTTGTCCTGGAAAAAAATAGTAGATTAACTCCAACTGATGCAAAGATATTAAAATCAACCATTACATATAAAACCTTTACAGCTTTTAAACACTTGAAAACTTTTCAGAATAAGCAGCATAGAAGAAAACATATGTATTTCTTTTTTTAAAACTCTCCCCTTTCGCTTCAAAACATCAAATGATATCATAGAAAGTAAATCCTTATTTGGTTTCCCCTGAACATGGTAGTTCATAAGGCAACCTGTTCCCTTAATAAACAACGCAGTACTTTGGGTACCAGAGCCACAAAATTTAACAGCAGCTCCGCAGCTCTCAATATTTTTTGCTGCCGTTAAATTTTGTGTCTCTGGTACCCAGGGTAACATTGCAGCAGATCTTTCATGACCAATTCAGTTATTATGAATATTCAAAAACATATTTCTATAAAGGCATGATCAAACTGCTGCAAAATATTTAGCAACTGCATTGAGAATCTTACTTTCGACATGCTTGTCCTGGAAGCTTACCATTAATTAGCGCCGAAATGAGAACCCAAAGACACGGAAAGCAGAAAGTCTTAATTCAAATAGTTTTTACCATGAAAATTTCTGGCAGATGAAACAGCTATTTTTATTTCGTGCTGTTGTAAAGAAAAATGGGTCCAGGAATAAGCAAGATGCTACAGGAGTTCTTTTGACATACCAAATTTTCATTTAGCACTTAGCATTTAGCACTGTTTTCTTGCAATAACATTTCGCTGAATGACCAAAGCCGACACTTTTGCAAATTTTTGATTTAGGAGCAGGGTAAGGAAAAAAATACGTCCTAAACCCAATAACGGGTTTTACAAAGCAAAGCTTAATAGTTTTTAGAGTTTTGACTTCTTTTGTCTCTTCTTCTCACTACTCCTCCTTTAGCCATTTTACGTCTTCAACCTTTAACCTTTAGCCACGTCTTGAAGAGTACAAAAGTTTGGTACCTGGACCTTGATAAGGGACAATATACCTCTGTCACCCTCGTAGCCTCAAACAAGGCGTTTGACACTTTTGATCATGATAAAAGCGTTGTGTTTATGGAGTTGTGGGGGAGAAATTGAGATGGTCTAAATCTTTCTTGAATAATCTTGAGCAGTGTTGCAAGGTTAATGGACTTAATTCCAGCATTTAATCTATTAAATGTGGGGTGCTACAAGGTTGTTGCCTTGGAACGTTTTTTATTTTGATATGTGGCAGGGCGTTTATGACATGAATTACTTGCGCACATGGACTCTGCAACTGTCAGCAGCAAAGCATGTTATTTAAATTCATAACTACTTACCTGGGAGGCAAACAGGACCTTGTTTGGGACCTTGTTGTTGGACAGCCTGTTCCTCCACAGCTGGAGTTTTGCGTGATTACCAAGGATCTTGTCTGTTGCCCATTGTTACCGCATCCTTGACAGGCCCCCCAGACACCCCATGAATGCACGCAGTTGACCGGGCAGCAAACACGATTACATGAAACAGTCTCTCGTAGACCATAGGGACAAGAACCCCCACATGAGGCACCTATGATGTCAATTTGCAAATCGTAACCATTGGGAAAGATTCTCAAAATAAAAACAATTCCAAAGGATATAAAATAACAAATTCAAAATTTTTGGGTAGCGATTGCGATCATTAAAGCCATTTATCATTATTGGACTTTTATAAGCAAAATATGTGTAAGATTGATATGTGAAAGGTGCTTATGTATTGTCACAGAAATTTTCGCATATAGTAAGGTGGATTCAGATACTGTGATGTTTTGTTCTACACGAAAAATGTAATCTTAATTAAATCTTTAGAATTTCCAAATTTCGGCTGAAAATGTGGATCGTTATTGTTATTATTATTATCTATTTATTAAAAGTAGGCGTATAAAAATAGCTACAAAATAAAAGCTAATCCAAGCCTACTACAAAGTAAAATTGTTTAGAAATAAAAAAAAAATAAAAATACATATATATCTAACATAAGAAATGATTGAGTATAAATGCATATATACATATTTTACAATGTTTTTACAGCATTTTTGGCATCTACAATACAATACATTTATCCGTTCAAGAACCCAACCTGAACCACGAAAGGTCTACGCAGTCTACAGTTGCATTCCTCTCCTATCCAAGATTTTATTCTCCTTTTAAAACTGGAAAGGATATCTGATCGTTTCATGTCATTGGGAAGTGCCTTCCACAATCTACTCCCTAGAAACGATATCGTCTCTAAGCCATAACACGTAGTGCGTGCATGTGGCAGTAGTAGATTGTGGCAGCTTCTCAATCCATACGTACTGTGGTTTTCAATAAAGATATCCTTCATGAAAGTAGGATTGAGCTCTCACAGATACCGTAAGGTTCATGGGTCAAAGAATATGGGCAAAATTAACTATAGAAGTGAAAATTTCAGTCTCTGTGGCTGTTTTTAAAAACATCTACAGAAAACAAAATGCAAATATTGCAACTGTAGGATTTGCAAAATTTTTATAAATGGCTTAGGTTTTTTGTAATTATTATGTATTTCTTTTGTATACACCTTTTGCAAATAGTTGGCTTTAATTAGCTTTTATTTTTAGCTATTTAGAACAGCCAACTTTAAATCAAAGTAGTAATAATAATGGAAACTTTTCATTTTGAATTCCAGTTAAAACTACAATTACAAATTTCACTATTACAAGGTAATTTGTAACTGGCTAGCCTGTTTTTACAAAATAAGACTATTACAATCGTAATAAAGAGAAAAGAAAAAATAAACGTTAAAAGGGGAGTAGCTCTAGGTTAGTCCATGTTTTGTTCCTACAGAAAAAAATGATATCGGATATGATTTGACAAGTTAAGAACAAACTGTACATGTCTTATAGCCAAATATGTTCCTTGCACATCACCAGAAATTAGCAGTCTTACTGTCCATGCACTTTTTTACACCTATTTCGCCATACGATGCTATCACAAATCATGTTTGATACACTGCACCACTTCATTTTTTCTTTTGCCTCTTCCCCTGATAGTCCTAGCCTTTTCAAGTTTCCCCTCACATCCTTATGTACGGTCCCAAGTGATCCAAAACACATGACACTGATTCTTGTTGCAATTCCATTTTCATTCGTTAAGTTTATCAGTGGTTGATACTTATTTATTTTTTTTCGGTAGGATGTATCCATATACGATATTGGAAATTTCGAAAAACTCAATAAGATGGGCTTTCGAAAAGATGGACTTGGAGGCTTTCGAAAAATTCTATATGGATTGAATTCTCTTGTAACATATCTCACAATGGTCTCCGTTGAAGTAAAAAAAATTTGGACCAAGATGTTTGACCAATTCCTTCATAACAATAAGAAAATGAGCAGTTTATTGATAACACAGAGGGAAATTAGCAGTCTTAGACACCCAAGCATAAAGGTAAGTATCTGCGAGTTTACTTTATAGAAATCTTACTAGGTTGTGCAAAGAAAGGCTTATTTTATTCAGCAGTTCTGAAATGTTCTTACAAAGCAGAAATATCATTTAGAACTATGGTCATAAAGCCACAAAATTCATTTACAGAGGCAAGTCTTGCTGAAGTAAATCGGTACGAGGATAAATTTTAATTCGTTATTATTGTTTTTTAAACTTATTTGCATGTGGTGAAAGAAGTAATTTTTGTTCATCCAGAGATTTTAGCAACTTAATTATTCTTTTTCCATCATTGTGAAAAGATTATTTTTTCTTGCCGCTGTTGTGAGTCGATTTTCGTTTCCTTCGCTACAAGCTTGACAAAAACCCTCACAACATTTACTTACACATGGATAAAATAATTTTTTTAGACAAATAAATAGTTCAAAGGTTCAAAGAAACTTACAGAAAAATTCAAAAAAATTCAGAAAACAATTTTGCAATTACAAATCTGTAAATTGTAAATTCGAAACTTTCCAGATACTTTCATGAGGGGAGTGAGTTACCAAAATTTTCGCTATTGGCAGTAGCGTGGCAAAAACGCCTTGAAAATAGCTTTGAAACGACCAAAGGCTGAGAATATATCACTTGCCACAAAATTCAAGGCCAATATGATCATATTGGTTCTCAAACAACTAATTATGATTTAGCAAAGATATTTCTAAAGTTATCATGCATTGTGCTAAAAACCTTTTAGCAGGTATCAGTAAGGTTTCAAGACTTTGAGACTGTCCTGTAAAAGTGGGTTTTTGTTACTTTTTAAAAAGACGATTTCTTTCAAAAATTGAATTGAAAGTATTGCCAATATTTTGGTCTTTTTGGCTTCAAACTATAGACTGATGGCTTCACAAAAGTGGTTTGAGTTTCATGGACTGTGGTGACCAGGAGGGAGGTTCGGAAAGGGCCTAGGCATCCCGTGCGGTAGTGTAGAGGAGGGAATAGGCAATTATAAAGCCTAGTTTTTTTAAGAAAATACATTATTCCCAGGTGATAGCTGGGTGATTTGTTTGCGCAAACTATCAGGTAACTAAAATCTTAAAATGTTTCCTTGTTTAATTAACAAAAGCTTCATATAGAGTAAATTAGGGGCCAGGCATTTTTGGCGGTAGGGCCGAGGTGGAAAATAGGTAATGTTTCACTGCAGACATTTTACCAACCGTTTGTGTTCCTGCTTAGGGCTCCTAGATTCGTACCAAAAAATTACTCTAGAATGTAAGTTTAAAAAATATTCTTCGTAGAAAAACGTAAATTTTTTTCCCGGGCAAAAGTATGAGGATAGGTTTTGCTCCACAGCAACTGTGTTTTGATTTGAAATATTGAAAAATCAAGCTCGAAATGGAAGCCGGTGATTGGCTAATGACATTTTGTAAACAAACCCGCTGATTGGTCTAGAACAAAATGTGCTCTTGTTTATACAAATCAAAGCAGACAGTGACTTCAACAATTTCACATTATCTCTTGTTCATTTTTATCTCTAGTATATCAGGCTTCCTTTGGTTTAGCTGTCGAAAAGCATTTTTGATGTGTGGAAAAGCTGTTTCTACCGTTTTGTTGACAAATAACGTTGATATTGAATTCTTTTTTTGGATTTTTTGGCATAAGAATTTTACGACCCGATTGTGCTTTCGCGAGTATAAATCTTTGTACTTTCTGCAGGAATTCATTAAGTGTGCCATTGATTCAGTCCGTTCATTACACATTGAACATCTTTTATCGTGATCCTTATTCCAAATATGAATTAGCTGATTACAAGGAATTTGATTCATACGTGCACGTAGAATAAACTTGACTAAACTATCACAGAGTTTACATCCGTAATAAATTTGATGCGAATTTTTTTTTGTCTATATTCTCAATTCCTATAAAACTTCCTTGCATGCGGAGCTCGCAGCTTTTAATGATATTCCAATTCCCCTCAATTTCTCTTTTCAAACCTTTCTATTCAACTCCTTGTCATTAACGACAACCATAGCAAAACCATCCTTGAAGATAACTGATCCATCAAACTTGTTAGCATGAAAAAGTAGATCTGGCCAATCAGAGTTCCCTCCATATGTTTTTGTCTTTGCTACTCTTCGTTTGGCATCTAATGCTTAACCCAAAAAATTAGTTTCGCTATCTGTCTGTCTAACACCACGTGATTTCATGTCTATTTCCAAAGATTTTCTTGCCAGATACCGTATGTTCCCCTCATCGTGATTCAACATTTTCATCAAATCAGATAACGTGTTGCCCTAAATACGTTTGATGGTCTCTTTATCCCCAGCCCCCCAAGTAGTCTGTTTATGAAAAAAATCTTGTCACTGCTCTTGGGATATAAATCAAACATTTCTTTAACGGTTTTCGTAATCTTTGCATCCAGTTCTTCAACCTGTTTTTCTTCTACCTTTGTGTATTCAAAGTGGTGTGAAATCTTTACTGAAGCCATGTTATTGAAAGCACTGAGTTTTCAAGGAATAGGGAGCGTACATTCCTTGATTTTATCAATTGTATCTTTGAATTCTTTGATGAATTCCTTAACTTGTTTTTCGTCTTCGCCTGCTATGGTAAACAATTTGCCAAGATATTTATACGATTCGGACCTCTTGTTCGTTGCTATTGTTTCTCCTTGAACTTTAATGGCTGGCTTTTTGTCACCTTTTCCCTTATGCCAATTTCTTACCCGACCTTCGCTCATAAAATAACGCACACTTAGATGCTTTTACTTTCAAACCAGCTTGATCAAAGAGTGGTTCAAATTTTTATTCCAACTCTTCAAGTAGTTTTAAATCATATGTTACCATTGCAATGTCGTCTGCATATGCTTGCATTGGAATTGGCCTGTTTCTTTCATTTTCTATATTCATACCAATCAGGGCATGATTGAATGCTGGTTTTAGTACTTTATCCACTATCACTAGAAAAATCAAAACGCTTAATGGGTCACCTGTTTTTGTGCCCCTTGTGGTGTAAATTTTCTGAGTCAGATTGTTTCCGCAAATAAATAGAAAACTGGAACGATGATATATGTGCTCAATAATCTTACAGTATACAATGGGAATGTTGTATTCACGCAATGTGGTTGTAATTTCTTTGTGCTTGATACTGCCAAAC